TTTTCATTTTACTATACTGTAAAGTAATCTTGCAGTAGATGAAAAGCACTAGAAAAGTTCAAATACCAAAGAATTGTATGAACTTTAATATGCACAATGCAGTACAGTAAAAAAAATAAAAAAGTTAATTTTGCATACTCTGCACATTTTGCCAAATTTCATTACAGTATACAGTACTATAGCAGTTTCTTGGTCTCCTGACACAAGACTAGCTATAACTAGGCAGTAATTTCTCAGTTCTGCAAACACGCAGTACACATAAAAAATGGTTACAAATAAAATTTGACAGTCACACATTTGAAGGTGTACAATGTGCTACAGTTTACTGTACATATAGAATAGTGACATTTCCATTATCTAATGTACTGGTACTGTACTGTAATTATACTGTATGTGTAAGTATAAAACCCCTGTAGATGATTGGCTCAGCTCTCTCCTCTCTCCATTGTTAGGATGCAGAGATTCTGATTGGTGTGTCATCAGTTTTGTTACCTAATGTTTAACTTATAAATTGTTGAACTTTTTGAGAAATGTGTCTTTGTTTTGAAAACTGAATTAATGGTTTGGGGAAAAAAGTGGCAACTAAAATCAGTTATATTAACAATCGAGAAAAGTGCAATACGACTAGATTCTTACCTAACTCTGCTGTTAGTTTCCGTGATCTGCATCTTATTGATTTCATGTTATTGTAACGGCTTATATCCATGATGAAAGTGGAGCGAGCCGTCGGAGAATCGGATCACCAAACAATTACGCAATGCATCTCAGACATATCCGGACGGGATTAGAATTCTCAGAGGACTTCTGAGTGACCTGAAAAGCAGTAATTATCTGATTCACGAACAAATGTAAACCAATTTGTTAGTGAACTGGGCGCGTTTGACTGGTTTTGACTTAAAAAGATCCGGTTCATAAGAGTCATTTGTTAACGAAGCCAACTACACTGGCATTCTGCGTGCGCGTGCAACCATCGTGCACAGTTTATTGAAAGACGTGGTTTTTTTTTTGCATTATTTTGCGTACTCTGTCATCGCCGTGGCTGAAAAGTAGCACATGAAACACTGCTTACATTTAAATTTTATTCTGTGATAATTTTGGGGTGGCACAGCTTTTTCTTAGGGTGGCTGCTAAGTAGATCCGCCCTTGACTTTTGGTAACACTTTAGATTAGGGAACACATTCACTATTAAAGGGGTGGTTTATTGCGATTTCACTTTTTTAACTTAGTGTGTAATGTTGCTGTTTGAGCATAAACAATATCTTGTTAAGTTATGAAGCTGAAAGTTCAATGCAAATGGAGATATCGTCTTTTCAAATTCTGGCAGTTTAATGCCTACAAAAACGGCTGGTAGGGACTACAACGAGTTACTTCCCGGGTTTGTGACATCACAAACCCAGATAAACCCCGCCCTCGGGAAAAGGCAGCAAAGAGGGCGAGGCCATGCTTGCACTGCTTTAGAGAAGAGGAAGAGAAAACATGTAAAAAAATCTATTCATATATGAATCGCAATTCTGTCTTCTAACGATTCTAATGGATGCACAAGTTTCAAAATCAATGTTCTAAAGCAGCAGTTCTTAATACTGTTCCTTGCCTCGCCCTGCTCTGCACACGCGCTCTCTCTCACTCTCTCTCATTGAGCTCAGCTCCAGCAATGAACTGTTACAATTATACACTTATTTTCACATAGCTATGAGAAGCATTAAACATGGACGG